GTAACTGTTTTATTCAAAGGGATTTTCTTGTTTTAGGAGCAGAGTATATTCCAGTATTCTTATAAGGTTGTGCTTTTATAGTATTTATACATATACATTGAATCTTGCATATACTATACATATTGCATAGTTCTGCAATAACCTGTGTTGGCAAAATGATAATGGTAGCTAGAGAAGCTCAGCAAATGAAACCTTAACTACTGCTGGAGAGTTCAGCTAAGCTTTCCAGTATATAATAGACTTTGGAACATGGATCTTGATAAGAAAGTATATTTGTAAGAACTATTGATCTGTGCTCTCAGCTGACTTCTCACTTGATGGTCAGATCTGGACTTACTCTGAAGCAACTGAGTTCAAGATCAGGGGGCAGGATTAGAGTGAGGGAAGATTTTGAATGAAGCCCACAGTTTTGGTATGCATGGTGTGAAGAAGTACTTTATTTCTGCCTGTCCCGAATCTTCCGGCATTCAGGTTCATTGGATGGCCCCAAGTTCTAGTGTTACGTGAGAGGCAGAAAAGCTTTTCTTTATCCACTTTCTCCTTACCGTGCATATAGCCAGATTGGGTTTAATGCTAAACTCTGGTTAGTTTAAATTATAGCTGTATAAAGAGAGCTTGCTTCTGTGCAAGCCTTACTTCTGTCCCTTCACATAGTGCTAAACTATGGTTTAGCATTATTTATTATTATTTTGTTTATTACCTTTGTATACTGCCCTTCTGCCAAGGATCACAGCGCAGAGCACAATATACAGTGGTACCCCGCAAGACGAATGCCTCGCAAGACGGAAAACCCGCAAGACGAAAGGGTTTTCTGTTTTGGAGGCGCTTCGCAAGACGAATTTCCCTATGGGCTTGCATCGCAAGACGAAAGCCCATAGGGAAAAGCTGGCGGTCGGGAGCAAAGACTTTCGCCCACAGCCGGCCTTCAGAAGAGGACCTCTTCTGAAGGCCGGCGGGGGGCAAAAGTCTTTGCTCCCCCCCGCCTGCCTTCCCCCGCCTGCCCGGGGCGATCTTAAAATGCTGGCGGCGGGAGCGAAGCGTTCGCTGCCGACCCCCAGCATTTTAAAATCTCCAAGGGACAGCAGAGAAGTCTCTGTCCCGGGGAGATTTTAAAATGCTGGGGATCGGGAGCGAAGCGTTAGCTGCCGACCCCCAGCATTTTAAAATCTCCCCCTGTCCCGGGGAGATTTTAAAATGCTGGGGGTCGGGAGCGAAGCGTTCGCTGCCGACCCCCAGCATTTTAAAATCTCCCCGTGTCCCGGGGAGGTTTTAAAATGCTGGGGGTCGGGAGCGAAGCGCTGCCGACCCCCTGCATTTTAAAATCTCCCCGTGTCCCGGGAAGGTTTTAAAATGCTGGGGGTCGGGAGCGAAGCGCTGCCGACCCCCAGCATTTTAAAACGCTGTTCCGAAGGGGGGGGTGGGGACACCTGCCCCAGCCGCCCCACTTCGGAAAGCTGTTCCGAAGTGGGGCGGGGGGCGGGGACACCTGCCCCAGCCGCCCCACTTCGGAAAGCTGTTCCGAAGCGGGGAGGGGGGCGGGGACACCTGCCCCAGCCGCCCCACTTCGGAAAGCTGTTCCGAAGCGGGGAGGGGGGGCGGGGACACCTGCCCCAGCCGCCCCACTTCGGAAAGCTGTTCCGAAGGGGGGAGGGGGGCGGGGACACCTGCCCCAGCCGCCCCACTTCGGAAAGCTGTTCCGAAGCGGGGAGGGGGGGCGGGGACATCTGCCCCAGCCGCCCCACTTCGGAAAGCTGTTCCGAAGCGGGGAGGGGGGGCGGGGACACCTGCCCCAGCCGCCCCACTTCGGAAAGCTGTTCCGAAGCGGGGAGGGGGGGGCGGGGACACCTGCCCCAGCCGCCCCACTTCGGAAAGCTGTTCCGAAGCGGGGAGGGGGGGCGGGGACACCTGCCCCAGCCGCCCCACTTCGGAAAGCTGTTCCGAAGCGGGGAGGGGGGGCGGGGACACCTGCCCCAGCCGCCCCACTTCGGAAAGCTGTTCCGAAGTGGGGAGGGGGGCGGGGACACCTGCCCCAGCCGCCCCACTTTGGAAAGCTGTTCCGAAGCGGGGCGGGGGGCGGGAACACCTTCTGAAGGCGGGCAGGGGGCGAAAGTCTTTGTCCCCCCTGCCTGCCTTCCCAGGGGCTTTTAAATCGCCCCGGACGGCGGAGAAGTCCTCCGCTGTCCGGGGCGATTTTAAAATGCCGCCCGCCAGCATTTTAAGATCGCCCCGGACAGCGGAGAAGTCCTCCGCTGTCCCAGGGTTTTTTTAAATGCTGGGGGTGGGAAGAAAAGCCCTTGTCCCCCCCCCCAGCCTTCAGAAGAGGTCCGGGGACAGACTGTCCCCGGACCTGGTCTGAAGGCGGTTTCCCTAGGAACGCATTAATTGATTTTCAATGCATTCCTATGGGAAACCGTGCATAGCAAGACGAAAAAACCGCAAGACGAAGAGACTTGCGGAACGAATTAATTTCGTCTTGCGAGGCACCACTGTAAAAATACAAAATGAGAATGCAAGATACATAATAAGAAAACCAACCAACCAACCAACCCCTTCCCACAAACACATTTAAAAGGCCATGCAATGTTCACTTAGTCAAAGGCCTAGTTATAGATAAACTTTATGCCTGGCAGATAAAGATATGAAATGAAGTCTCCCGGCAAGCCATCCTGGGGAGAGCATTCCACAAATGGGGAGCCACAGCATAAATGGCCCTTTCTTGTATTGCTGCCCTCCAGGCCTCTCAGAATTATTGCAGCGTCTGGGTCAGGTCATATGGGCATATATAATATCCTTGAGATATTAATATCCTGAGCCGTTTAATGTTTTATAGGTCAAAAGCAGCACTTTGAATTGGGCCCAGAGTCTAATTGGCAGCCAGTGCAGTTGAGCTCACTTGCATCTAGTTGTGTCACTTGCATCTAACACAGCACCAAGTAAGCATTCTGTCAGCACAAGGATTTACACTTGTGTACAGTGGTACTTCGGGTTACATGCGCTTCAGGTTACACACTCTGCTAACCCAGAAATAGTGCTTCAGGTTAAGAACTTTGCTTCAGGATAAGAACAGAAATCGGACTCCGGCGGCATGGCAGCAGCAGGAGGCCCCATTAGCTAAAGTGGTGCTTCAGGTTAAGAACAGTTTCAGGTTAAGTACGGACCTCCGGAATGAATTAAGTACTTAACCTGAGGTACCACTGTAGTAGGATTTCCCCTTCTACCCGCCCCCCCCCGGCCCCTTACACCCCCTGTAACTGTACTGGGGTTTCCCCAAACCCTCTGGAGCAGATGTTGGGAGGGAGCAGTTTGTGTGGGGCGTAGGAGAGGGAGAGAAAGTCTTGTTGCACAAGTGTAAATCCTTGTGCTGATGGGACACTCAGCACTGCATTGGCTACAAGCTTCTGTGAAACAGGTCACTGTACTAACTCTATTGAAAAGAAGTCTTGTTTGCTGTGATGTTATGTGTGATGATTCATTTACATAGTTGCATATGATAAGAAGCTGTGAAAGAGGAAGAACAAGTACTTTCAGTCAGTATGTTACCTAGTCACGAGATGATATCTGCCTTTATCTGCCTTGTAATTTCACACCAACATGTTTTAAATGTGTAACGCATACTCAGCTTCTATCCATAGTTAAGCCATAATTAACTTTCATTAGGTTATCCTCCTGAGTACACCTTCTTGCAAAATCACATACAAAATGTCTTCCCAGTTCAAATCATGCTTGCCCTGTCCAGATTCTTTGCAAGAATCTTAGCAATCTGTCAATAGAATATTGTCTCCCTTTTGCCCACCCCTTAGATAGTTTTTTTAAATCCATCATTTCTAGCTACATTTGACAAGTGATGAGGCCTACAAGTTCATCCCTTCATTTTGAAAGAATTTTATAGGCTGACAGCCTCATTAGTGGCTTCATTAGAATTAGCACATCACACTTATAAATGCAATTACTTTCTGAGAGCTACATAGTTTAGAGGAGATTTAATATACCGAAGTATTGTTTTAATAATTTAGATGGAGCATAAGAAAGAACTCAATAGTCTCAAGCTTTCGTGTTATTTTTAGGTAAAGATACAGGAATTTATGCCCTCGCTATTCATTTTCACACCTTGCTTATAAAGACCTTTTTTTTGGGGGGGGGGTAAAATATTCTTTAATTTGTAGTCCATGCACAAAATGTTCCATCGTTTTTCTTCAGTTTCATGAATACTGCAGCTTTATAATACTAATTTTTGTATTATTCCTTACTTTAAAAATGCTGCCATCAAGTGGTAATTTCTATGCATGCTTACATAGTTCATTTCTAGTATTTTCTTGGAGTTTCACATCAAAATGCACGTAAGGCCCTGTAGAGCCTGCCTTCCCTCAGAAATCCTCATTAGATTTTGAGAACCTGCTTCTTCGCTTGCTTCCAGTTGTGGGGAGCTTATTTCCATAGTATGGAACTACAGTAGATGACAGAGCAATCCTATGCATATCTACTCAGATGTAAATGCGACTGAGTTCATCATTGCCAACAAACAACATACTTGAGACTTCCCAAAGGGTCATGCTGTTGTTTAATCAAGGTGCAGTTGTTCTTTGCTGGGGGTTCAGGTATGTTTCCCACAACTAGCATTCTCAGGTAGGAAAAGAGCATGCTTATGTGCCTGTAACTGAGGGGAGAGGGAGCCTGGGACCACAGAAGAGCTGACAGGAAGTCTGTAGTGCCAGGCAGGCCCCATCTAGGTTGTGAGTTGCATTTGCTTTCATGAGTCCTGGGGTTGAATGGTTTTGGTATACTGGTGGTTGTGTCACATATTTTTCGGGTCACAGCTAGCAGTCCTATTACAATAGCGTTGTGCAGAGCATAGTTGTGGAAGGGTCATGATGCTTCTTGCATCATTTCAAGACAGATGCACCCATTGTTGTCTTTTTGTGGCTTTCCAACCATTACATTGCATGGAAATAATGATTTCTGTATATACAAAGCAAATTTAAAATCACTTCTTTGTCCATAAGGGCTGCTTTGTTGGATTTGACCTGGCTCATGCTGTAGGCAACGTAGAACTGCATTTACACGAATGGGGAGTAGACTTTGCCTGCTGGTGTTCCTATAAGGTGAGAATGTCTTTAGTATTCTGGAGTATTTGTAATACAGTTAAAAATCAACAGATATTGCAAAAGCAGCCAAACAGAACAGTTGGTTAAAGACTGAAGAGAACTGTTCATTATTTGTTTCATATAAACCTGTGTTATATGTGTTACATTTTAAATACATGTAAGCTAGGTAAGCTGCTTCAGTACAGCTTTGCCCTCAACAGTTGGCAATTCAGAACATGGTCATGAAGAAACGCTTTCAAAATATGCTGAAGGTTCTGCAAGATTGTAGGAAAACGGAAATCCACTAATATGGAGCATCATCTGAAGAAACCACTTTACGTGCTCTTAGCCAGTATTACAAGAAGCTATGCAATTTAAAATATAAAGCTGTTTTAAGGAACACTTTCCTTACTGGTTCACACTCGCTCACATTATACTTAAATCAAAGTCAGTCTGCAGTTTCCAAAGAGAGGTCAGTTATGCTATCATGCATGATAAAACTAAAAATATATGTAAATGCTGACTTCTATCTTACAGTATCTCAATTCGGGAGCAGGAGGTCTAGCCGGTGCTTTCATTCATGAGAAACATTCCCAGACTGTAAAACCAACGTAAGTATCTTTCACATTTTCAAAAAACTATCCTAATAATGAAGAGTTTTCTAAACACTTTTTTTTGTGTGTGTGTGTACTAACATATACAATTCATTTATTTTTGTGTGTTAAACCCAACCCTACAAATGGAAATGTATACTAAGGCTGCAGGTCCTATACACACTTACTTCCAGAAAAGTTTCCCCCCCTGAGCATTCATTTATAAGATGATGCTGTAAGCCAGCTAGTGTTATTTTGCAGGAATACACAGTTTTACAAGTAACAGTGTTAATGCTTTTTTAGACAAATAAAACCCATCTGAAGAGATAAAACAAGCATGGTGTTTGAATTGCTGTTTCAAAATTGTGATAACTTGCTTTGTTTATGCGCACACACAGTCTATTTTGCCTTCATGGAGATTGATATCAGCTCAGTCATACATAGCAGCAAACCAAAATTTCTTAGCAGTATTCTTTTAACCAGGGAATCAAGTAATCAAGAAAACCACCTCCTTCATCCTCGTGATTCTTCATTTTGAAAAATAGCTTCCTAGGAACTAACTGCTTCTACTTCCTTGAGTATTCTTTGTTGTTTTAAACAGCCTTGATTTTCTAAGACTATGGCACTGGGGCTGATCACACTGAAAGAGTACCACAATGCATTTTATTGTATACATAAATAAATGCATGAAATATATTTTCGCTTCTGTGTGATAGAACTACAAGAGTGTGCTAGAAGCACAATAACAGGTTCAAATCCATGACCCTGAGATCAAGAGTCTCATGTTTTACTGACTATATAGTATGGAGAATTGACAAAGACTGAGATAGTTGTTTTTTTTTAAATGCTATGAAAATATGGAGAGCAGAAAGTAATATTGTGATAAATGTGTGAGTGTGTAATATTGTATTTAGAAGTAGGTAAGTGTAAGAGGTTATATGCAGCTTGCTGTCAGTTGCTGCATATACAAAGAAGCTGTTATAGGCCTTTGTGGTTCATAGTTAAACCTGTCAGCATTTATACAACATAGGAGGATTCAAAAGGTCACGTTATGAAAGGCCAGTTAATTAACATTCTGCTGGCTCACATTGACTCATAGTTATAAACCAATGGGATGTCAGATAATAGAAGTGATTGTTGGTGAAAGGTCTGAAATTGTATAAAAGCACACTCCCAGAATTGCTAAGGATCAATGTGTGGCCTGCATGGGCACTGTGAACAGTTCAGCCAGAAAAGAGCCCGAGGAAGTAGCAGGCAGAGGAACAGGAGTTGAGATGAAAGGAAGGCAGAAGGTATGAGAGTGACAGCAGGAGGCATTTGGCCTGAGGAAACAATAAGGCTTAAGACGAGACACATGTATGACCTGACCCAAAGACAAACTTCAGGAGAAGCCGAAGGAAACTTGCCAGAGCCCTGTATCTTTCCATTAAGTACTGAATCAGAGAGCAGGTGCAGTCCGAAATGTGAAGATGTTGTTGCCATGCCGCCGCCACCTCTTCTACCTGGGCCATGTGGTGGTGCCCACTAAACAGCAGTGGTGATGGCAGTTTCTGGTGATATTGGAGTGGCCACTGCTGCTTCTCCACTAATGGCAGGGTGGGCAGGGACACTGCCTCATAGTGTTCTACCACCTGAGGCGACTGACTCAGCCTGCCTCTTGGGTGAGCCGGCCCATCCAGAGAGAGAGCTTCAAGTCTTGTCCTTTAGCATTTCTGGGATTTTAATCAGGACAATAAACTGAGATAAGAATATAACCGATTCCTTAATATAATAGTACAAATTTGAATCAGAAACAGTTTAAATGTAATGGTAAAGGGCTGTCTGACCATTAGGTCCAGTCACAGATGACTCTGGGGTTGCGGCACTCATCTCTCTTTACTGGTTGAGGGAGCTGGCGTTTGTCAGCAGGCACTTTTTCTGAGTCATGTGGCCAGCATGACTAAGCAGCTTCTGACAAACCAGAACAGCGCACGGCAACACTGTTTACCTTCCCACCAGAGCGGTACCTATTTATCTACTTGCACTTGACGTGCTTTCAAACTGCTAGGTTGGCAGGAGCAGGGACTGAACAACAGGAGCTCATCCCGTCGCAGGGATTCGAACCACCGACTTTCTGATCGGCAAGCCCTAGTCTCTGTGGTCATCTAGTCTATTAATATATATTGTATGGGCAACATCCAGTGCTGTTTGTCTGCATGTGCAATGGGTCTTCAGTTTCTCTTCTCACCCACTTGCAGCCCCCTCTTGCACCCCATATCTGCTCTGGAGGGTTCACCAACTTTCCAGAGCTGATCATAGGCACTTGCAGTGCAGTTCAGCAAAGAGAAAAGTAAGTAGAGGCCCCATTGCATGAGTGGATGACAACTTGGGCTTCATTGAATCTCACCCTATATAAACAAAGAGTTTAATAAATGCAAATATATTCATTTAACATTTTAAAACACCTGTGCATGTTCATTCCATTATTCAATCATCACCTTATACTACAGTCCCAAGGGTGGTTTATAATAAAAGAAAGAAAAAATAAGTTTCAATGAATTACATATAAAGTGGACAAGATAAAATATTATTAAAGATTTTATGGTGGCAGCAGAATTTGTAAACAAAAAACAAAGGTAGGTGTGTGTGTGTGTGTGTGTGTGTGTGTGTGTGTGTACAGTAAGCCCACAACTTGTGCTTGCTTTACTTAAGCAATTGCAACCTTACACATGATGGGAGATGAATAAGTAAATAAAAAAATGGGGGAAACCCACTACTCTCCACTTATTTATTTTTTCCCACCACCAGTGACCCAGTGGGTTTTCCTTGCTTACTGTGCTTTGGGAAGGCAGTGCGAGGGCTCTGGTAGTATCGCAGAGCCTGTTAAGGAAGATGCCTTCATGCTTCCGGGCTCTGGGATATTCACAGGAAGGCTTTGAGAAGTTCTCAGGGCCCTCCTACGATCTTCCCAGGCCCCAGTAAGCAGCACTCCACATTGTGGGACGGGGCGGTTCTACGGGTTCCTGACTTTTCACAATGTTATCTTTGCATGCAGACCCCCAGAACCAAACACTCACATAAGTGGCAGGCTCACTGTATGTGTGTACATACACACACACACACACACACCCCTAAATATCTGGAAGGGTTGTTAAGCCAAATCTTCCACATTTTGGTAGCATGGTAGCATCAGTCACCGTTTAGGGAAGCCATCCCAAAGCTTTGCATTGAGGAGTTCATCCAATGTCAATCTGCTGGGAATCTGCTTTCTGCTATAAATGCATCTAATAGTGAAAAAATAATGTTTAAAAATAAGTAACCCCAAGTCAGGTCAAATAGATGCTTTAATAGAGTAGTTTTGATTTTTAAAATTATTCTTTTAAACAGTATCTTTAATGTCTTTGGTTTGTGAACAAAATCAAAGAGAAATTCAGCTCTGTGGCTAATGGCTTTTTAATAGTGTCATGTTTTCATTAAAATTATATCCAACTATAAAGCTAGGAAGCATTAGGCAAAGATATGCATTATCAAAGCCTTTATAATCTATGAAAATTAAGTGCTCTTCGATGGTACGCTTGCTGCATGAAAACAAATATTTTTCAGTACATCACATTCTTTAAGAATAGTAGCATTATATATTTTAAAAGATCTTAACAAATGTAAATATTTCTTTCTAGTGCTAATGTTTTAAGACACTGCTGGTTTATATTTTGATATGAGCTAGAATTCGGAAGTCTAAATCTCAGAGTAAAAGTAGTTATGGTACAAGCACAATTGCATTATAAGCAAGGCTGTCTAGACAGATAATATTGTTCACAACAGTCTAGAAACAATAATTCTGATTAATTCTTGGAATCATTTTTAGTACTTCTAATTGAGAAGAACTCATTATGGGAGATAACAGCAATTTACAAGCTGATTCTTGGAGATTCTGATTTGCTTGAGATAAATGTCAAGAAGTTTGTTGCTTCTTTAAACTATTTTCTTTGTTTTTCTTTCACTTGTCTGTCACCTGTCCTGTCCCGTATAAATGTATTTCATGGATCTTCTTACATTGTCTTTGGTAATTTATGCACAAAGGGAGCATGACAGAAATATTACTCCCCCCTGCAATTTCCATCATCCAAATTAAAGAAATAAAAATAGTTGGGGTTACAAGGCTATTGCTTCTCACAGAATACTAGCAATGCCAATTATGTTCTATTGGATGTATAAAATGCTTGCAGCCACTACTCTCCTGTAACCTTGTTTGAAATTTGCAGGTCTGTTTTAAAAATGCTCCGGGAGGAAGCCTTTTCAGCTTTCTTTGGGACAGAAAGATCCAAGAACCATCACATAGATGACTAAAGTGTAAATTGTGAAACGTTCTATTTTAGGAGCATTTGTTGTAATGTGTTTTTTCTCCCTTGGGTGTTGAATTTCTTCCTATAGGCTTAGCTCCCCCTACTGCTCAAAGGAAAGAAACTCTATAACTTAGAATGAAATTGTTGCCTTTCCTTCTCTTTGAGGCCTCAGTTCATTTCCTGTCTTTGCTTGGAGCAGACCATTTGATCTAGGTCTACTGTTGTCTGTGCCCAGTTCCCCAGGCCTGTGTATTTTGTCCTTTTCCTTGACTTCATTGTTGTGTGTGAGGTTTGCCTCTCCACCTCGGCCTTTCCTGATTTTTTTAAATCTCTCAGTCAGCTTCTTACCTGTGACTGGTGCTTGTTTCTCTCCCCACGACCACTTCAGTCCTTTCCAAAGGTTCCTTGATTAAATTTCTGGCTAATATTATTTCCATCTGCTTCTGAGCCAAATTCTCTGCATCCCCCCCCCCAGCGTTCTAAAAAATAAAATAAAATTCTATAGTCTTTCTCTCTGGCCCCTTCCCTTCCACTCCTCAATTGCCTTTCTGTTGCTCTGGTGAAGGCAAAGTGAGCATCAAAACAATGGGAAAGGCATCTAGGAGAAGATCCACTGCTTCTCACAGCTCAGTGTGCATGTTGCTCATCAAGCTCAGCAGTAGCTGCTGTCGGAGCACTAGTGGGTGTGTGCTAGCT